GCATTGACATCATCAAAAATGGCTCTTTCATACACTTCCACGGGAGAAGATTGTAAGGCATTAAGTGTACAGGCCACATGCTATACGATGTGCTCATATTTTCAAACGGATTGAAACCATCCGTGGTAAGCCCTAACCTTACATGCCGGGGTTCCACAGGAAACATAGGATGCTGCATATCAAAGTCTTTCCATGCCTGACCATCAGCTGGATGCCTTAACATTCGATCATCCACATGCTTCTCTTTGTGCCATCTCATATCTGCGGTGGTTTTTTGTCGACATGTACAATCTCTTTAACCTCGGTGTCAAAGGAAAGTACCTCAATATTTTGTGAGGAATCTTTTTACCACTCGCATTGTTGAACTTATATCTAGACTCCTTACATGTCGGGCAATTATCCAGTTTTGCGTTGTCTTTCCAAAACAAAATACAATCATTCTTGCATGCATGAATGGCCTCATATCCCAAACCCAATTCACGTAAGAACTTTTTCGATTTATAAAGGGTCCATGGTACAGTTTCATCACACTTTGGGAGAATGTCTTTGAAAACTTGCATAACCATATCGAAAGATTTGTTGCTCCATTTGTTGTACACCTTGATATGAAGCATCCTAATAACGAAAGACAACACGGAAAACTTCACACTCTGGGTACACTTTGTGCCAAGCATCATCAAACAACCTAATGAACTTTACTAAATTTTCTCTCTCCTAGCTATTAGGTTCTTCGTCGATATGATCATCCCTGAAGCCACTCATGTAAATCTCTTCCAATATAATAGGCGACACCCAAATTATCGTCAATGTCAAAAATTGCAGCTCCATCTCTTTCACCAGCATCATTCGACACACTAGGCATGACGCAATGGAACATGTTCCCCGTGGTGCACCCAAGTTCTATAAGAACACGCGATTCCTCTTCGAATCAAGTGCAGCCATACAACTTGTCGACTATGTTTTGTGCCATTCCAGCAATCGACACACGGACAACGAATGTCATCGTGTGGGCCTAAATCCTTCGTAGCAAAGTCAATAAATGACTTAACACCTTGTTGGTACTCTTTACTTTTCAACCTATCAATTATCATCATCCAACTCTTGTCCATCTTTTGAACCCTACAAGTCAAGCAAAGATTAACTAGGACTTTTGAGGATGGCCATAAAATATGACAATTTGGGTGAAGTAGGATTATAAAGAAACTACCAACAAAATTTATAAAAAAAATTCACACATAATGATGTAACTTATTTATATTATTTAATAAAAATTAAAATGTCTATCACTTTAGTGAATATTATAAAAATAACATTATTTCATCAATTTGGCCTTTAATATCATTTTTGTTTTAATAATGGAGCATCAATCTCCTTGTATTGTTTTTCAAGTGGTAGATGAGACTTTTGCACTATATTTGGCAAAATTTATGAGAAGAATGATACAAGACATGAGCAAATAATTGACCAAATATCTCCACTTATTTATGATGTCTTCAACGTAAATAACCAAACATATACTCATTACTAAAGTTGCATATGATTTTTTCCCTATTTCCCTATTTTGTAAGGCAGGAAGCTGCAGATGATATTTTTCCCTTTATTAAAATTGTTACTCTTAAAAATTTCATACTAAAAAGACTATAAGGTCTAAGTTTGATGAATTTTTTTGATCGTCCAAATACAAATTTTATTACATCGAATAGATAACTATTTTTTTGATTATCTTGATGGTATTGCTCACTACAAATTTACATAATCAAAACTCTTTTTAATTTTATTCTACAAGGTAATCACAAGTAAATAGTTCTTTAAGTATTATTTGCCATGCATATTAATCTATTTCAAGGGTTCCTCATAGTCTTGAATTATTCGGCATGTTCCTCATACCTCAATCTATTTTCTCGTATCTTCTCTTTCATTGGTACCATTTGTAACTTGCACTGAATGTATTTTCACTTCTATCTTTTCTCATAACCACCTCAGTATATAGCAATCCCAAAAAACAGAAATTTTACTTATAGCTCAAGCATCATCATATGCAGCAGAAAGTTGGATTTGGCAGTTCAATCTGTTCAAAATATCTACGTCTATTAACTCACTGCGAGAGTGAGAATACCAATTAAGCACATAAACATGTGGACATATATACATGTAAACATATAACAAACTAAATTACACTTGCAACTTTATGTCTTAGAAAAGAAGCATCAACACAAAGATGTTTCTAGATAACAATGACTCAAATGAAGCAGGCAGGAAGCATCTCTTTTAAGGGGCAAGAGGCAAACGAGTAGATGGATATTCATGGTTTAATATGCAGAGAATCTATTTCAACATAAACAACTCTGATTCATGTTAACACAAAATAACACAAAATCATCTAAGGAAAACAAACCAACATAAAAAAATATCAAAATTGTAGAACAGTAAAAAACCTTGAACTAAGATAAAGCATAAGGAAAAAAATTTTGACTGTAAATCCAAAAGGAAAAAACAAAAAAGCAAAAAAAGTTGACCAATTTTCTGTAGTACTCGTGGTACCAACTCTCAATTAACTAGCAAAATTGTCCATTGAAACTCCAGTCACTTTAGATAAATCTATTGGAAGTACAACTTCACTATACATAAATTGTTTAAAGAAGTGCAATTATTAATTGTGATAATAAAATATAAATTAAACATGGTTAAAAACAAGATTGAAAACATTGTTATTTGCATGCACAGGGATTAAAAATGGCACTTTTATCAAGCATGCATGCTGTGTACAGTGTATACTCAAACAGAGAGGGAGAGGGGGAAGTTACACTTGGCCTATTGAGTTTTCTTTTCCTTGTTAAGAGGCAGTGGAATTTTTCTCAGGATATTATCATAAATTTTCCTGAACTGCATTTGAATGATCTTATGAGCTACAATCAGCTTCTCGTCAATTTGATCCTGGTACTTCTCATAAAGCACAGGGATCGATAGACTAAGAAGAACCCCTATGGGAAAAACAAAGCAGATAATCAAATTGAATTAAATATTCTATGGAAAGGCTTGTGCACTTATATACAGGGAAAGGCCACGAAGAAACTCACCAATATAGACCAAAGTAAGGAAGTTGAAGAAACTACCAATGTAAGAAATTATCCACAAGACCAATGCAACCTGAAGACCAAAGCCACATTACATTGGCACATTAAACTATTTTTATATCCCTGTCAAATCCATAACACAAAAATCAAACCCATAAAACAAAAATCAAACTCATTTTGGACATGAAGAATTTCATAATTTTATAGAAATCAAACACTTCAACCAATGAGCCCTTAACCGAAATCAATACAAAATAAACTAAAAAAGCACATAAACCCTAGATGAAGTGTGAGAAATAGGGAAATAGGGGAAGAGAGAGAGAGAGAGAGAGAGAGAGAGAGGGAACCAGAGAGATGGCTTGATAGAGAGAGAGAGAACCAGATCGTAACGCCCGGGAGACGACCGAACAGAGAGAGACAGAGACAAACCTGTGATATGCGGCAGTGTTGGTGGTGATTTTCGGCGTCGGCGGTGGTGGTGGCGGCGACGTGCGACGGTGGCAACGTGCGACGGTGGGGACGGACGGTGGCCAGCGACGGTGGTAGTGACAGTCGGTGGTGAGCGGGCCTCTAGTTTGTGGTGAGTGGTTTGTGTTTGTGAGACAGAATAGATACAAAAAAAAAATGTGTGAAACAGGAGGGCGCCTCCTATTCATAAGCTGCCCTCTAATTTTTTTTGCTTACTTTTAGCGACCAAATTTTGTTTAGTTGGCAAATAATAGTCAATATTTTTGTCTAATTTGGCTACTAAGTATCTTTTTGTCTGAAAACACTAACCATACAACAACTAAATTATTTTTGTCACTGATAGTTTAGTAAATAAGCCTATCTTTTGGCGACTAAACTTTTTTTGGTCGCCAAAAGGCTATATACGCCGACTAAAATCAAAATTAGTAGCCAAAAAAATAGACGAACGCCTACTAAAACCTTTTTAGTCGCCTATTTACATGAATTTTAGCAACTAAATTTTTTTTTAGTCGCCAATTACTAATTTATGGCTACTAAAAAATTTTAGTAGCTAAAATGCTAAATATTGCCGAACAATAGCAAGATTAGTCGGTAAAGGTCTGACTTTTGGCGACAAACAATTTTAATCGCCAAATTTGGTCGCTGAAGGTGCAAATTGTTGTAGTGTCTGCATCAAAGGAGTTAGTTACTTAAGGAAGTTTTACAAATCAAAAGTAGTTATCATCCTGTGATAATTTTGCTGGTTTACTTGCTTTAACTTGTTATAATGTCTACATATATATATATATAAACTTGTCATCATATAGTATGTGTATGCATTTGAATATACCTAGACTTGTATAAAAGCATTTCAACTGAGTGATTTGTTAAATTTTTAGACAGAACCTGTATAGCTCTATGGATAGAGAAGGCAAAGACTGTAAAATGTGATTGAGAAATCTTGTGATTTTCAATTAAGCATGATTAAGGATCAATACAAATTTCAAATGAAGTAAGTGCATTTGTGTTGTGCTGCTTGTTTTGACTTCAGTCCTATTTCATTTCGGCAATTCAGATGCCAATTGTACCAGGAAAAAAAATGTTCACTTTAGAATCATGATAACATGTTGTCCAGCTTTGCCAAGTTTTAGGTTTAATGAAGATTGTTTTTAACTACTTGCTGGGTTTAAAACTTCTCTCTCGATAGGCCTTTATGGACGAGAAAGCAATGGGGATTGAGTTAGTTTTGCTAGAGTGAGAACTAGGCTCTTCGAACAGAAAGAGAGGTTGACATGATGCGGGTTAAGGATTTTTGTACTAGTTTTGTGCACAACTGTTTCACTGCAGTACTAAAATATTTTTCTTAGCTTTGGGCCCGGTATCATTATCTGTGTTTTGAATCCATTGGTTTTTATAAAGTAGAAGAGCAAAAGCAGGAAAGAAAATTAGTTCTGAAAAAACTGTTGGTTGTTGATGCAGGCTTCGAGGCTTCTTGCAAACTTGATTGTGGTGGGCTCTGGTATTATGGCTAGAGCTTTGGTTCAAGCATATCGTCAAGCACTTGCGAGTATGTTATTTGTTAATTCATCCTTCTGCCATTGGAATTTTGTCATTGTAAATGCAATTATTTTGAGCCTATGATCACATCAGCATGAGGTCTGAGCTATCTTTCCATTTCACCCTTCCTTTCAAAATACAAGAAAGCAAATAGCAGGGGTAGGCAAGGCCCAAGGGACACCATCATGTGCTTATGCAAGGATCAATTTCTTTACCAATTCTCAAAATAATATGCACTATGAGACCCCAATAAACACAGTATATGCTGCGTCATACTTGGCCATCTGTCCCATTATTCTTTCCCACTTTTAGTACTGGAAGCATTTGGATTTGAGAGTTCTACTAGTCCTATGATTCAAATATCATGATGTGGGGCTACAAATGAACCGAGTTGCTTGCGAGATTGGCTTGGTTGGTAACACATATAAATGAGCTGGACCTAGAATAAGCTCAGCTCGTAAATTATTTATTTAAATTGTAAAATAAATATATTATTTATATATTAAATAATATAAATGTGTTATTTATGCATATTAATATAAAATAATATTTAATGAGCCGAATGGTCTTGATTATCGAGCCGAACTTTTTCTTTATTATTGAGCATCGAGCCAAGCTTGAGCTGGAGCTGGATTAATTTTCAAGCCAAGCTTGAGCTTGATAAACAAACAGGCCGAGCTCGAGCCCTGGAGAGCTCGGTTCAGCTCAACTGATTTGCAGCCCTAAGTACACGTGATGTCCTATCATTGTCTTAATGCCTTGAACCATTTCAAAGTTTTGCTTAAGATATTCCCTCTGCTGCTTATTGTAGATGCCTCAAGAAATGGAGTTACTGCAGAAGCAGTACAAAACGTAAGAAGAGCGAGCAAAATTATGGCTGAACCAGAGGCCAGGCAGATTTTAGGCGTCACCGAGCATTCATCATGGGAAGAGATCTTGCAGGTTTCGTCTATCCTCCTATTTTGTTCCTTTTTTGTGAGCTGTACGATGAGAAGAAGCCTAATTTGTACATATATAGTGCTAATTGATTTATGTGTTTCTCTTTGTGCAGAAGTACGATAGCTTGTTCGAGCGGAATGCCAAGACTGGGAGTTTTTACCTCCAATCAAAGGTTCATAGAGCCAAAGAATGTTTAGAAGTGGCTTACCAAAAGCAAGCTTAGTGTATCGACTTATAATTGGCGGGCCTTAACCTTTTTGCAGACTCTTAATAGTCATTCATGCACAAATTCTGCTACATGTCCACAGAAGTCATTCTATTAGAGCAATTAAAACCCCTGCCCAATCTTCTTTTTCATGTGTAGTGTAACGATTGAATCTGGCATTTCTTTGCATCTCATCAATGAAAAATCTCAAACTATTTATTTTTTTTTGACCTCTTTGTTTTTTGAAAGGCATTATATATGGCTGACACCCTTCAGGAGAGACGGATTAGTGCTTGTTAAGAGAGGGGTGTTCGGAGACTTGGTTGGCTATTGTAGCTAATCTTATTCTATTTTACTCTCCTTGCGGGTTAGTTATTGGATTAGTTATTTTAACAAAATTCTTTTTACTAGTTGTATAAGAGAGTTTTGGGAGGCTGTCAAAACAATGTGTGTGAATAGATAAGTAAAATAAAGAGTAGTGGAGCATATAAATAAATAAATGAATTGGTAAAATGAAGAGTATATATATTTATTTTGTACACAAAAATAAAATAAAAATGAAGAGTAACGTTGGAGGGTATTTGTTTGGATGGATTGAATTAAGGAGATCGTAATGCAATGAACTATTAGACTTGAAATAAATAATTCTTAAATTGTTTGGTAAGAAATAATGTATATTTGACAAATAGTCACCTTTACTTTGCGAACCAAATAATGGATTAATACAGAGTTTAATCTCATGCCTCAATTCTATGAGATGTTTGTTTTGGCGGATTGAATTAGAAAGATTGCAATGCAATGGACTATTAGTCCTATAGATAAATAGTTATTGAATTATTTGGTCGAAAATAACGTGTATTTGATTATTAGTTTGATTATTATTATTTTTTAATCAAACAATGAATTAGTAAATCTATTAAATATGAAATTTAATTCTATGCTTCAATCTCATGAAATAAACGTTCCCATAAGATACATTTACAATGTCGGATTATATTTGTTTTTCCATTGAAAACATGTTTGGTGAGATATGATAGTGACAGGAGGTAGGAGGTGCTGGCCAACTGTGAATGGTGGGTGACTGAAGGTGGCAAAGTGAGAAGAATGAAATCTATATATATTTTTTATTTTTGGTTAAAATAAAACAAAATATCATCTATCCTTTTTAATTCAGAACAACAAGGACTTCCATGATTCTGGTTCGGTTTAATTTTTAAAATATTAACAATAATATAATAGTGATATTAATATAATTAATAATTTATATAATAAATTTTTGAATAAATTACAAATATACCTCCGAGATTTGTTTAAAGTACAGAGTGCCTCTTGTAGTTTAAAAAATTATAAATACTCCCTTGTTAAAAAAATTTATTTAACAAAATTAACTAAAAAATAGAAATTCATAATTGTTCTCCTATATAATAATAAAATTATCTATATTATTAATTAAAACATGTTTATAATATCATTAAAAATTGTTAATTGGCTTGATGATTTATTAATAAAAAACGGTGATTTGTTATGAAATTAGAAATCTCAAGGAGTGGAATGTAATTTCTAGAATCATAGGGGACAATTTATATTTTAATCAAATCTTAGATAGTGTATTTGTAATTTATCCTAAATTTTTTAATTTTAATGTGACAAGTTCGGGATGAACTACATCTGTACAAATTTAATAATATAAATCTTTTAGGATAGAGAAAAATCGAGATAGGAAATTTTAATATCATGAATTTCTCTAAGATTGAATTGTTGTAATAATTTCACTATCTAAATTTTAAATTGAAACAAATGATAAGTTTATGTATAATTGATATTATTTTAATATTATTTGCCTTTAATTTTCAAGTTGGACTATTGAAGTAGCACTGACTACTGGAGTCTGGATTCTCGGCTGCCCTACCCGGCAGCCGTTTCCAGCAGCCCCCAAAACGACGGCGTTTTGGGGGCAAATTTTCAAAAAAAAAAAAACGCAGAGGAAGAGAGGGAGGAAGGAGAGGAAGAGGGAGGAAGGAGGAGGGAGGAGGAGGAGGAGGAGGAGGAGGAGGAGGCGGAGGCGGGGCCGGAGGCGGAGGCGACGGCTGTGTAGCTGCTGCGACGAGCTGGATCGGGCGACGATCGAACGGCTGCGACGGCCGGCGACGAGCTGCGATGGCGAGCTCGCAGCCTCCTCCCTCCTCCTTCCTCCCTCTCCCCTCCCCTCTGGTTTCTGTTCGAAGAGAGAGAAAGCAAGAACGAAGAAGAAGAAAAGAAAAAAACAAAAAAACAAAACAAAAAACCCCCAAAACGACGTCGTTTTGGAGGGGTGCCGGGTAGGGCGGCCGAGGATCCGGATTCGAGGTTGTTAATGCCACCATTATTATCCACCACATAAATTAATTGATGATGTCAATAAATAGTACCAGCTAATCTAATGATTAGTTAATGGTGGAAAAAAAATTGAAATAAGATTATAAATTTTAAAGAGAGAAATCGAATTTTTAAAATATAAAAACTGTTTATGTATATAAGTCAAATCTCAGGTGTAGGTGTAATTTACCCATATAAAAACTAGGACAAATTACACTAACAGTTCCTATAGTTTGGGACTTGTGTCACTTTAGTCCTTGACTTTCAATTGTGACACATTTGACTCTGAATTTTGAATCTTGTTCCAAATAAGGACAATTGAAGATACCGTTATTTAATTTCAAGGGCAAAATAGTTAATTTAATAAAATATAAACTAATTTGACAAAAATAAATGTTAAAAAAATATTTTTAATTTGTTAAAAATTATTTCTATCCACTAAAGATAAAATTATATAAAATTGATCAAAATCAATAAAAATTACATGAATAATTTTTAAAAATTAATTTTACATGATCATCATCAAAACACATAATAAAAATTAATTTGGTAAAAAAATAAATAAATGTCTAAAAGATTTATCAATTTTATATAATTTTATCTTTAGTGGGTAGAAATAATTTATAAAAATTCAAAAATATTTTTTTGACATTTATTTTTGTCAAATTAGTTTTATTTTATCAAATTGACAATTTTACCCTTGAAAAATCTAATGATATCTTCAATTGTCCTTAATTGAAACAAGATTTAAAATTTAGGATCAAATGTATCACAATTAAAAAGTCAGGGTCTAAAGTGATACAAGTCCCAAACTATAAGGACTATTAGTGTAATTCATCCTAAAAACTAATAGGAATCTTAGTAGAAATATTTACTTACTGAAAATGCCGGCTAATATTTCAAAGGTTTCTAAATTTTCTGGGTTCTAACTTCTAAGTTCAATATTTTTTGTATATGTTTCAAGAAATGTTTCCGAAGTTTGTAAATAGTTGAAAATTTTCTGTAGTCGTACATGTTTAGTTGTATTTTGTGTATTTGTTACAAATTTTCTAACTAAATTCCTAAAAATTCCATTAGGTTTCTAAAGTTTTTATTTTTTTATGAGTAGAATTTCTTATTTATTTACTTGTAAGCTATGTTTGAATGACAGTAATCTTGAGGGAAAATAGAAATGTGATGGTGCTAGTGTTTCAAACAAATTGAAAGAGAAAATAAGAATGTGATTTTGGATCAGGGGTGGGTGGCATTGTGGTTAAGCCTCGGGGTTTAAGCCTCAAGATCACAGGTTCAATCCTCTCTCTCCTTGGCCAATCTCCTAGGCGAAGCACAGTTGGTTAGGAGGTTAGACCTCAAGTTGTCTAATCAGTACTTGGTGTGGGTTCAATGCTCCCCGCTGTGCGAGTCCTGACTTCGGCGGAACTTGTCTTAGAGGTCGGGGCAAGTTCCCAGGTTATAGTTGTTAATCATATTATTTAATTTTGATGATGTCTAAAATATTATTTGTAACAATTTGAATTTTTTTAATATATATATATTTATTTGATACAAAATATTATCTTTTTAAAATATATATATTTGTTAAATATTAGTTAAATAAAAATATTTTTGAAAACTTTACTATTCACTTTTTGAAAATTTAGGCTGATCACTATTCACTTTTTGACTAAATTAAAAATTGATTAATTATATTATTTTGACAAAAATGATTGATTGGTTGTATTATTTTGACAAATTTGATATTGATGAGTTGTCTTGTTTTGACAAAATTAATATGGAGTAGTAGGATAAATTTAGTTTAAAATCTCTACAACATATACAATATTTTAAAGAGGACATATATTTTCAGATCCATCATAAATATTATTTAAAGAAATTTTTCTATATATGCAAATATTTGATTAGAACATTATATATATATATATATATATAACTTTATATATATAATGTATATAATACAAATAGTATACATCACGGAGCAATTATATTTTTTTTACACAACATTGATTGTATCATATATATTAGTGTGTAGAAATATTGAATATTAGCATATGAAAACATTAATTATTAGCATGTGGAAAGTCATACAAGATATAATTCAAATTATTATTTTTTTCTTTTTTGTGCACTTTTCACTAATACCTAAAGATGTTCAAATTTACAAGAGTGCAAATTTTCTTACACGTGATTCTCTTCTAAACTAATGTCATCCATGACGTCAGCAAGGAGCGTGCTTATGTAAGCCATGACGTCAGCAAGGAGCGTCTAACGGGTATATTTTTATGTATAAATAGAAGTGTTGTGTGTGGAGAAAAATCAAGAACTTGAAGAGAAAATTTTCTGAGCTCCAAAATTCTGAGTATATTGTATTCTGCTCTTTCACTTTCAGATCTAAGTTTAGCATTTGTTCTTACACTTTGATATCTACTCTTTGTGAGAGAAATATTGTAAAAGAGTGTTTAAGTACCACTTATTCTTATTCCTTATTTTTGTGAGAGATTTTGTAAGGGTAGGCATTTATTGTTGAGTGAGGTTCAATAGATAAGAGTAAGTCCTGTGCCAAATCCACAAGCTCGGTGCTGTATTTATTCAATTAATGGTAAAAAAATTCTCAAGGAGGTTCCTTGGGGAGTGGGCGTAGGCCTGGCGTGCCGAACCACTATAAATCGCAGTGTTTGATTTTTTCTTCCTATCTCTCTTACTTTTATATTGATAATTATTATTCAGTTTTTTATTTATTTATTAGAATTCTGAATATTATGTTAATTTTAATATTGTGAAATTTTTAATAAGCCAATTCACTCCCCCTCTTGGATTGCCTATCTGGGATAACAATAGTCTCCTCGCTCGGAATGACTATTGTCTTCGGAGGTTGGGG